TTGTATGCAGATGCATAATACTATGCAAGGAGTTCAGTCGCACACTAAAATTCTAGGCTGTATTAAATCGTAATCGTGCCTCGATAGTCCACAGACCCATTTATCCCAATTAATGTACATGATTCCCCAAAGCAACCCAGCAAGTTGACCAACCCTCTCTGTTCCGGGGTCAACAGCCAATATAACCTCGGGGATGATCGACTGCGGCAAACCTATCGGATAGCGTGCTTGGACTTCCGTCCTTTTCTGCCTCAGGATAGACCTGGTTCCGGTGTCCGCGGAATCTGTCCATCACAGGCCAACTACCACAGGAAACGATGTATGAGGACATGGGCCAGAACCCATAACGGCCATTGAATGACAAGTGTATAAATGTCCTGTCAGGAACGTCTATACTTCCCATTGCAACAGTATCTACCCAACTCTCTCTATATACACAATAACATTGCTTGTGGACTCAGGGACAAACATGCATGGCTAAAGAAAAAAAGAAAACAGGCCAAGGTCAAATCATCATTTATGGATCATCATCAGGTATCATGTCGTCGGCCGTCATTTCCCTGCAAATAGAGCAAAACAATCACTCCGAAACGAATGCTCAAGGTGTATCCGAAACCGAAAATCATCAAGATGCAAATTCATGGCAGTTTCACTTCGCCGGAACTCGCTCGTAGAATACAATATATGCCTGTTCGTTCTGCAGCCGGTCTTTCAAGCGCAGATCGCGTGGGTTAAAGTCGGTCGCCCGCTCATCGTCAAACTTGCGCCAGCATTGGCGCTGCGCATCCCGCACCAGCGATATATAATGTCCGCTACCCATGGTCGATCCAATATGGCGTAACACCCCATACGCATCGTACGTGAAAGGCGCTGTGGTCGCAGAGGTCATGTCTGAAGCCCTGGCATCGTTGGCAGATCCAGGGCTCGCAGAGATGACGAAATCATCCATCCGAAGTCCATGCAAAGGAAAGTCAATGGGTGTATGAATCTTGCGCGCACTTTGCGTTTTCGATGCTGAGAATCTCTTGAAATGGATCACCAGAATCTGGGGCGCCCGGGTGATGATGATCTGTTTCGTCGCCACCCTCTCACATTTGCAATAAGGACACTTCCACACTTCATCCCCACTCAGCATTTCCTCCTGGCAGTAACTACGCAGGCACTGATAGATGTCGCCCGTGCCGGTCGGTGGAATTTCAACACTGATACTATAGAAAGCCTCATACGTTGTTGACGTCCGCTTGCAGGTTGTACATCGAAGCCGACTGGCGTGCTGGCCAGCAAACAGTGAGGAGATGAAGGATTCTTCCCGGTGACAGTAGCGATCCCACTCAATCTTGGAGACCTTGGGTACAGGCATCCGCTCTCGCTGCATTTCTTCCTCGAATGTGAGCGGCCGGAGAGGAGTCCTCTGCCAGTTGATGTTGAGGTCCTCATGCAAACAGTCCACCACAAAGTCAAAAAACTCCTTGGCATCCTGTTGCCGATCGATGGCCCACTCTTGATTCAAGCGGCCGCAAAAATTGCGAAATGATGTCGGCATGATCACCTCAACATCGTTCTTCCACAGCGACCTAATCAGATTCGCAAATAGCCCAGGCATGACGCCTTGTGATCCTTTCCAATTCTTTTGAACGTAGAACCGGAATCGGTTGTCAATGAAGAACTTGCTAAGCATTACGGTCGCGCTGAGACATTGGATGGTTGAGTTCATGTAGCAAGTCACCCCGAAGTTGGTCAAACCAGTCCGCGGAAGTTTGAGGCGACTCAGCATCGAACTGGGAGTATACAAAGCTGTTTTGGTCGCCGAATTCTGCCGTTCCAGAGGTGCCTGAATTTGCCGGCCATCTGAGACGCCACTATAGCTCGGTCGGGGTAGGGCGGGAGGTGGTCGTGATGGTGCAACAGGTACAGGAGCAGCGTAATTGGGTGTAGAGGAAGGTATCGACGGCTGAGAGTGCGGCACAACCATCGATTCCTGAATTGCATGCGGTTCCGGGAAGCGCCGCAAGAAGTCCTCGTATGTATGCACAAAAGGCGTAACCGGAGGCTCCTGCTGCTCAGAAGCATCTTCCGGTTCCTCTGTCAGCACTTCCTCCTCGATATAGGTGCTTGTGTCAATCTCCTCATTCTTAGACTTCTCCATCCATGCGGTCAATTCTTCCGGATTCAAAGGCTTATATTCGCGCAGTCTTCTTTTTCGGACTTCAAGACTGGAATTGGCACTCGCCATGGTCGGTACCCTCCCAAGAGGTCGGCCCGGTCTCATCGCCGGCCTCTTGGCCTGTATGGATCCCATTACGGCAGCAGTTGTCGATGTTGCCAAAGACTGCTGCCCCAAAAGGTCAATCCATGCATCGAGTCCACCCAATAGTAACGCAGGTGGCCGTGCATCCTTTAAGGGCTTGTACGCATTAAATTCATACAATGTGTCGTGCAAGGCTCGAAGATGAGGAGCTGTTGTCCCAACAGGCGACCCCGCGAGGTAGCTGACCGAGTCCGTTCTCTCGTCATAGTACACAACAAGGTCAAACTCATTGCGCCTCTCGAACAGCGACTGTTCATGTTCAGGTGATACCACCAGTCGCTCTTCAAGTTCCTCCGCAGACACGTTCTCTTTCAATGCCACCGGTTCAATGCAGATGATTGATTTTGCATAAATATGGCCTCCGTCGAATTTCTCGCGAGGTCGCACATCGATCAACAAAACGTTGTATTTGCGGAGGTACTCCAGTAAAGCTTGAGCGGTGATAGTAGTGCTATGCGGTAGATCTGCGGAGCTACTCCTGGCTTCTCTTACCTGGTGAACGCCATTTGGCGTCATCGATCGATAAGGATTGTCATCAAGATCACCACGACTGGGACTGCCACGGGGAGAGTTGGCTAGTTGTGAGTATCGCGGATTGACAGGGCGGGAGCTCTCAGTAGATGTTCTGGGCGGATTTGATGGAGGTTGAGAAGGCACTGTCCATATCGGACTGTAAGCTGGATCAGGGGCCCGAGGAAGAGAGGTATTAAGTGGTATCTTCGGAGGCGGATTGGGTACATCGTGATTTGTCCCCATGTTACGGGGCCCTAGAGGGCGCCTAGAGGGTGAGCTCAAGTTTGAGCTGGATTGTGAACCTTGCTGTATGTAAGACAACGGACGAGGAGGATAGTCATTAAGGTATTTAGGCGGCGAAGGCGTTGTGGTTGCACCATTTTGTCCATTATTCGGATGATTTTGACCATTGACGGGATATGGTGATGCCCTTAGTTTAGCGAAGCGTTGGGCAAGTAGGTCCTCAGCAGGGGCCGAATATCTGTTCGGCTTGGGTCGTGTGTCAGGCGTGCTTTGGAATTCTGAAGGACTTGGCATCCGTACTGAACTCTCGCCTGCTTCCTTCTGACGGCCCCTAGAAGGTGCACTCTGGGAAGTTGCCGCGGCGGTTCCCTGAAATCCTGATGTAGTGAACCGGGATGGCCCCAGCGGTTGGATATTGCTAGCCAAATTATCCTCCAAAATCTGTTGTTTGATATCGTCCATCGTCCCTTGCTTCGTCCGCACAGCCTATCAATTTGTCAGCCACACGATCTACTTCTCGTCGGGAATCCCAATTTCGTGGGCGTGTTCACTCAAAAGCCATGAACCGCCTTCTCATGGCTGGAAAAGCATACCATCATAAGACTCGCAAATTGCTTGTACCATGCCGGGCTCTGGTTGACGGTAATGCGGTAGTCAGGATGGTGCGGTATGATGTTAATAGTGATCTCAGAAGCACGCAGGTATTGCACATAAGCTTTGTCCAATTCTTCGGTATCAGCGTACTCCCTAGCTAGCTCGATCGCCTCCTGTGCCCGTCCGACCAAGTCACTCAACTATGAGACTCCTATTAGCGATATGCCACAGCAGAAAACTCAAGGCGAATCAACAAAAGAGCAATACGCACCGGAGTTGATTCGTTCACATCCAGAGAGGCTGCTTCATCTTGAAGATCCTTAATATTCGGAAATCGTGGTATTCGGGATGAGGCATGGTTGCCATTTTGAGGTGAACCTGATCTGCCATTTCGCTCCACGCCCGATTGCATGCCACCCAAGGAGTGCAGCCGATCGGGATTCTTGCACGGCGCAAAATTCGGCGGAGAGGGTAACGATGCTGCATCCAATGTCATTATACACGGATGAAGAGAAGTATTCTCTAACACATGACCGTGACGGAAGCACCGCGGGGAAAAGCTTCGGGAGAGCCACTAGGTACTCGGGGGCGGTATACAAGGAGAAAGGGTCTGTGAATCGGAGCAAAGGAGGGGAGAATAGAAGCAGGGGCAGACACTGAACGAAGATATGGGCAGACAGTACCCCTGTATAAGAGAGTGGAAATCAACGAATGTCTGACTGGCGAGGGTGGGTAGAATAATGACCGAAGAACAAATTGATTGAAACAGAATAATGCGACATAGTCCGTCCTAAGGCAGAAGCAAACTGCGGGACGTTTCTGGGGTATGCGCAATCGGCGTAATGACCGTATCAAAACAGGTCTTGGTATTGCTCGCCGCCTTGTCCGATGACGCCACATGCCTTTTCTGCCTCGACACCTGATTTGTTGACCTAAATCGGAAAGTCGACACCTAAGGACGCAGCTACTAACAGTGCTCCAGCCAATGACTATGCCACATGGGCCTGCTTCTTTTCTTAACTAAGCAGCTCTCGCCCAGTTACAACCTCCACTCCGTACCTCATTGCCTAAGGTACCTACCTAATGATGGATCTGCCTGGAGCTTGATTTGATACATGCATCAACACCATCTCCTTCATCCCTCATCCTATCAATGTCCTGATTACTCTCTGTGAAACTCCTAATCTATCGAGTTGATCCTTCAGTGAGGCCGCTGTACTCGGGTTTCTGCGTCTACTTCTGTGATTTACTGCCCCTCATCGTTGTTTCTCAACGTCATCAATCCCCTTCTCCGCTCTCATCAATCAAATAGCGATTTTGAGGCTTTTCTATCACCGTCAACATGGCGGGTTGGTTTTCCTCTACTTCTCCACTCGACGAGCAGGTTGAGCGTGCGACATCATCATCGCTGTATGTCTTCTTTGATTTGAGTTTTCCCAGTTGTGGAAGCTGCCCCGGCCATAGCTAACTGCTCTATCAAATAGAGAGGACATTGCTCTCAACCTCGAGATCTCCGACCTTATCCGATCGAAAAGCGTCCAGCCCAAAGAAGCGATGAGGTCGCTCAAACGGCGACTAGAAAATAGGAATCCGAACGTGCAGATTGCGACATTGAAGGTTGTATAATGATGACCCGAGACCTCGGTGGCGTCTGTTCTCGATGCTGATGTGCTTGATATCTCTCTAGTTAACCGACACATGCGTGAAGAATGGCGGGTCCCATTTTCTGGCGGAAATTGCGTCGCGCGAGTTTATGGATAATCTGGCGTCTCTCCTAACAGCTGAGGGAGCTCCCCTGAATACTGATGTGAAGGAGAAGATGCTGGAACTCATTCAGGATTGGGCTATGGCGGCCCAAGGCCGCATGGATCTCAACTATCTGGGCGAGACCTACCGCAGGCTGCAGAGCGAGGGTTTCCGCTTCCCCCCGAAGAATGAGATTAGTGGGAGTATGTTGGAAAGCAGTGCGGTATGTTTACGTCCGTCCCATGGTGCGGATCTTGTCTTGAAGCTAACGTTTGAATCTGCGGAAACATAGCCTCCTGAGTGGATTGATTCCGACGTTTGTATGCGCTGCCGTACACCATTCAGTTTCATGAATCGTAAACACCATTGCCGCAATTGCGGTAATGTCTTCGATGCTCAGTGCTCCAGCAAAACCCTGCCCCTGCCTCACTTGGGGATACTGCAGCCCGTTCGCGTCGATGACGGGTGCTATGCCAAATTAACATCAAAGTCATTCATGCCATCTAATTTGTCAGACCGATCTGCGTTCAAGAACCACTCCATCACCAAGTCAAACGCGATGGAACCTCGCGGCGCGAGGGCAGAAGGGGGATTTGATGATGACCTGCGGCGGGCGCTTCAACTGAGCTTGGAAGAGGCTCAGAATAAGGGCTCTTCTGGCTACATGCCATCAACTAGGCTCAATGACGAACCGGCAAAGACGACTACTCAGGCCAACCACGAGGAGGAGGAAGACGCGGACTTGAAAGCTGCCATCGAAGCTTCTCTGCGGGACATGGAGGAACACAAGAAAAAGCATGCGGCCGCCCTGAAGAGTAATGCAGCAGCGACGGACTTTTCCGCTCGTGATACTACCACCGCAACACCCTTGCCCAAAAATCCCTATGAGCTGAGCCCCGTCGAGGTAGAAAACATTCACCTGTTCGCCGCCCTCGTTGACAGGTTACAACATCAACCTCCGGGGACGATCCTACGGGAACCCCAAATCCAAGAGCTGTACGAGAGCATCGGTGCTCTCAGACCCAAGCTTGCCCGCAGCTATGGGGAGACTATGAGCAAGCATGGTAAATTGAATTATTTCTATTGAGAGGTTGATCTATTATTGAAGATTGACTAACCGGCCCATAGATACCCTTCTTGACCTGCATGCTAAGCTGTCCACGGTGGTGCGGTATTACGATCGCATGCTAGAGGAACGATTATCTAGTGCATATTCACAGCATTCGCTCGGATACGGAACTGTGCCAGGCGGTTCCCCATACCCCAATATATATGCTTCAATGCCTTCCCACGCCGCGGAGGGTAAAACTGGAGCCGAAAACTTTTATTACGGCAACCCGGTTGCCGATAGGGCGCCTCCAGTTGGTAACGCTTATGGATACCCTCAGTCCAGCAGGGAGATTCGTGAGCCAGCAGCGGCTCCCAGTGGTCCGACCAGCTCCGGCATGTATAATCAACCGGCTCTGGCAGTGCCTCAAAATCCGCCGTGGAATGGAAACGTTCCTGTCGCATCTCCTCAACCATCTGCTCCCTCCACTCCTTTCCCCAACAATCCTTCAGGATATCCTGGCCCCTCCGCTCCGACGCAATACTACGTGTCCGCACCGCATCCAGAACAAGATCCGAATGCATATTCAAGTCCCCGGCCTGGGGAGACAGAAATATCTCACCAGCCGTCGCCGATCATGCGACGAGATTCTTACTATCACTCAGCTGGAGCGCCTGTCGCTGCGCGGGCGAGTGCACCGGAACAATCACCGCCTACAGACCAGGGCCAGTCTCCAGGTTATATGCAATACGCAGACCCTCATCCTGTGCAATCGACTGGTCAACCTACCCCTCAGCATCAGCCGACGGCGCCTCCCGCCCAGTCATACTACTTCCAGCAACAACCTCCACAAGGCGCACCGCTTCCAACACACTCGCAGACACCAGCTGCGCCATATGGAACGTACCCTGGCGGAGACGTTTCCCCGATCAGTGCGTCTGCACCTCCGGCACATTATCAACACGTTGCGCCGACCAAACCGGCAGTTGAGGAAAGTCTGATTGAGCTGTAGAGGGTCTCGTGATTGAATTGGCGATGTATAGCATTCTTGTGGTCGCTTTTCTCTCCCTTATACAACACCTTCTCGTGGTTGTTGGCTTTTGTGAGCATTATGATACCAGATGATTTGAAAATTTTTAGGATATGAGATTGGACACGCATTGATTTCTGATTGACATTCACTACTTCTACTCCTTTTGAGGATGACGGCCCTAGTTAACTTGTGTTTGTCTATACTTGTACTTTGTAGAGTATCATGCCTTAAGCGTGAGAAACCGATAAGCACTTGGAACGCCTGAAACTCGATTGTGTATTATGAGCCGATGTAGTCAAGCAGCATCATACTTCTCGCTGCATACGTTTCTTTTGTTCATTTCCTAGCACACTACCTGTGATTCTGGGATGGTTATCTCGATCACAATAGTGCCATTAGCAGCTTGTTCATTTAAGTATTAAAAACGTTGCAAAGTGCTTATCTGATTTTATTCCGTCTGATTCATTACACTGTTCATTATTGAGGATGAAGAAATCTATCCACGCATCCATGGTGAAAAAAGGCTTGGTAAAGGAAGAACCATGGAGAGGGGCATTCGAAGAAAGGGATAAGGAAACATAAAAAAAAACCATCAATGCTATTCCATGTCAACCATTGGCGCAGTAGGATATCCCGAACTTGATTTGGTAATAAATGCTCGTAAGCTAAAGCCATAAGCGATGCACCGGACGCCGTCAGTGCTAGAATGGGAGTCAAATGAAGATAAATGAATAGAAGACATAGGTAGAAAGGAGAGAAGGGGTAGAAGGCGTAGTCGGGTGAAAGCTAGTATCATCTAGCCATGAGTAGCTACCTCGCGGCTCTCCCACATGCGGCGAATCATCATATCTGATTCACTGGTGAAATAGCTGTCGCCAAAGTCCTCGTCTGCGGCAGTGGTCCCGTGAGCGGCTTCGTCGGAAGTCGACAGAATGCGCTGGGATGGGTGTTGAGATTTGTTGGAGTCGCTGGGGTCGTCGGCGTCTTCGAGGTAAGTTTGGGACACAGATTTCTTCAAGTCCGAAGTCTTTCTGCTAATGAGTTGTCTTGGCTCAGGACTTGGCAAGCCTCTTTGCTGCTTTCCAACTTGTTGTAGTTGCGCGAGTGCAGGGGCCGACTTGATTGGTTTGCCGAGTGCCGATGTACGGTCGGCAGTGGAAGTTATGGGAGCCTTGGAGTCATTAAGGATAGCCGCCAAGCGGGCGAAACTGTCGCCTGTTGGAGACTGGAACCTTCGGACGACGCTAAGTTCCAACGCGATCTTCTCGTATGCCTTCCGGATGTGCTTGGCTTCGGTATCTCCGCCGGTTCGGGAGGAGCCGTTGACGAGCGCTCTGCTGGCCTCGTAGACACCTGACCCTGCGCGGCCATGCGATGCAGCTATGAAGGACGTGTCCATTGGCGATGGAGAGACTGCCGTGGACATGCCATGGCTGTCGGGAGGAGAGGTATTTAAAGCAGCAGTTCGTTGCAGCCAAAGCTTCTGCTGGGTGCGAGAGGGGGGCTCAGTGCCTGGTGGTCTCGAAGGAGGCGACGCTTTGTGCTTTCCTATCCCGCGGTTCGGAGACGGTGGGGTCTGCGGATGATAATGTGGAAGAAACGATGATGGGGTATTTGGGTCAGAATCCGTGCGCGATGATGCGTGGGGGCGGGTTTTATTGTTAATGATGAATCTGGAAACACCCCCTTCCATAGACGAGGACGTTGCGTTCGTCTGATTCCCCGGTGTATTCGCGAGCGTAGTGGTCGATGAAGATAGAGGGCGCCGTAAGCCGTCCGGACCGGCGAGATTGGTCAAGGAAGCATTCCGAGATATTGTGTCAACGGGAGCTGGCTTCACTGTTGCAGAAATAGATGACATCGCGGGAGGTGCTCTAGCAGAATGCGAAGGGCTTAACAAACGGGCCGCGATGTCGCCGTGGTCAGGCAAACGGGCAATCTCTTCCTTCCACTCCTCGGGCTCCGAAACTGGCTGGTCCTGGTGTTGATCGTTCTCGTCAGGAGAGTGATCGTCATGCGAGAAGCGCCTATAGGCTGACTCCGGCAAGCTGCTCGCGGCACGAGGCACCTGAGGATACGGGCGCTTGACAAAGGTGAGGGGGTCCACCAATACGGCAGTATTCTCCAGGCTACCTTTGGATTGAGCAACTGAGCTGCGTCTCGTGCTCTCAGGCGACTGAGTCGTATCTTCCCACTCGCCCTCGTCGTCGTCGTTGTCTGAAACTCCTAATTCAAAGCCAACGGTCTTCTTCTTCCCAGAACTGGTTGCTGGGCGATCGGTTACCAATGCTTTCTTTGCCAGAACACCAGAGGAATTGCGTCGAGGATTTCGCAGAGCAGGGCTCGAGTTGTTCCTTTTAATCGACGATGTCGCGGTCTGGCCGGAGTCCAACCCACTATCCCAACGCACGTGGTGACCACCGCGTGGACTCGCCGCTGGTGTCGCTGGTGCGGACTTCTTCCGTTGATGATGACGAACAGTTGCTTCGGTTGTAATATGTCCAGCAGAAGTATGCCGCTGGAGCTTGTTTAAGTTCTTTCCGAAAGATGGGTTGCGACCGTGACTGCGATGACCGCCACCGACGACATGTGCACGGGGACGGTGGGCAGGCGTTTTCTGAGGATGGGTGTCTGACGAGTCTGACGAAGTACGCGTGACGACAGCGTGAGACGAAAGAGCACGGCGGGCCAGGCCCGGGCGCTTAACAGGGGAGGAAGTGTTGGAGGTCGGCATGGCAGGCAGCCAAGGCCAGCGCTGGGACAGGTAAGGGCTCGCACAGATGGCACGGATGCAGCTCCGAAACGGGCGACAAGCAGCTGCCGGGAGGGGGGGTTTGTGTACGGTCGATCAACTATCGATGTGAAGGGGGCATCAAACGCCACGATTTGCCTTTCAATTGAGACTGAAAACAAGTACACCGGCAAAGCAAAGCCGCAGAGTCAACGGGAAATCTCGGTGGTCGATCAAGCCAAAAGAAAAGCAATGAGCGACGATGAACGAGTGCTGCTGTAATTGCTGGTTGCTTGCTGGTTGCTTCTGTTGCTGCTAGAGACGCGGGGGATGAAGTAATAATTGGCTGGATGGAGGAACAGACAAAGTTACACTGCACGTGAGACAAGAGGGCCCGCACGAGGACCAAAGTGGCGAGGCTCTTGAAGAAACGATCGCCAAGTTGATCAATGAAAATAAGGGGTGTTGAGCAGAGAGAAGGAAACAATGAAACGAAATGAAGGACAGGAATATGACGACGAAGAACGTTCGGGTCGTAGTGGAGGTCAGCAGTATGAGACAGTGAAGAGCGGTACGGAATATGGAGAAGTAAGTTAGGTATGATTAGGATAGGTGGTTTGGTATTATGGCTTACGGAACCAGCCATGGATGGTCGAAAAGCAGAAATAGAAATAGAACACAGGAGATACCTAGTTGTCTCCACTTGCATCGCCAGTTCTAGACCAGGAGTAGTGAGTGGTATTCATTACTTTCCATGCTTCGTACGCAAGAGAATAAGTCCTCTTACAATACCAAAGATCGGTCTGGTCGGGTATATGCATACCTTCTGTTCTGACATGCATATGAGAGTACTCCATACTCTCTTCTCAAGCCTAAAGCACTGTCACTTAGCCAACTCCAATGGTTTCCTTATCTAGCAGTTTCTATATGTCACTTAATAGCCCCTAATTGAAGTGTATTAGTCAGTGTGCCCGAGTGGTTAAGGGGAGTGATTAGAAATATTTCCACTTGGCTTCGGCCGCATAGGTTTGAGTCCTATCGCTGACGGCAATTTTTCGTTTTGCTCCCCTTTCTTTCAAAAAAAAAGCAAAAATTAGCTGACGTCATCGGCAGGTCGTTTTTCTTTTTTTTTTTTGAGGGTTAAAAAACTGTCCGCTGGAACAGGGAACAAACTAGTAAAAACTACATAGACTAGGCGGGTAAAAAAGAAAATCTCCCCGACAGGGAGTCGAACCCTGGTCTCCCGCGCTCGTTCTCTAGGAGTGACAAGCGGAAATCATGACCGTTAGACCATCGAGGATATTTGTTGGTGCTTCTTGCTATTTTTGGATAATTGAAGTTGGAAGCCTCTATGAACACTCAGAATCGTATGACCAATATGACAAGTCCCTATTAGCGTTCGAAATTTTGTATGATGAACATATATCCAATTCAGTGATTTAGTTCTATTCAATGCGCTTGTTGCCCAGCTATACATTCCGTCCCATGATATATAAAAATGACAAGTGGTGTACAACCCGAGGGTGCTGACGGGGTATATAAAGAAAATGTCGTTGAGCAACATGATTCATGTCGACGGGATTATCAACGAACGGTCTAGCTTGACATAGTTCAGTCGCGTTCTTTTCCCTTCCTGGGATGGCCTCCTCTGCCACCGCGACGAGAATTGCCGCCGGCAGCGCTCGCATGATTTCCACTGGTTTCGGGTTGCAGGTTGTCCCGCCGAGAGTCCGAGATCTTCTGCCCGTTTTGGCCCTTCGCTTGAGATAGCTGTTGAGTTAATCCCGAAGGACCAGCAGCATTCTCCGGGCCCTTGCCACGCTTCTTGCGATTGCTTGATCCTCTACCGCGTCCGCCGCGACCACTTCTACCTTCGCTGTCCTTTTGACTGGCTTGCGTTGGATCAGGCTCCGGTATCCCTTGAACACGCCTGCTCTCCTTGTCCCACCATTCCTGGAACTCCTGCTCAAGTTGAATATCTTGAAGGTTATGCTTAGCTGTTGCTGCCTCGCGCAGCTCATCCTTTTCAGTCTGCTGCTGCATTAAGATCGCAGCCAAGGACAGCGAGTTGGGTGAAGGAGAATGAAAACTCGTCTGGTACGGTTCGGAGCGTGGTATGTGGCGTATGGATTTAATGGGGGCCTGAGCACTAGCCAGACCATTGGGAGATGTCGAAGGCCCAGCTGCGGATGGTCCCTGTGGCGAAGGCTTCATGACTGGCTGGGGGCCGCCAGAGACACTGCGACCT